AACAATGGAAGTAAGATGCAGGTGGACAGATTGGTTCCTGGTTTCAGAGTCTCCTTCTGCTGGTGGCACTCTCTGGCCAGAGATCAGGCTGATGTCCCAGATGTGAAGCCCAGAATAGTTGGTATGGCCCTTGATTTTCTCCTCAGACTGTCACTGTCCTTACTCAGTCTCTTCTTTGGTAGTGAACAGTAGGACAACTTCTTTGTATCACATTCACCTTTCCTCAATGAAACCACCTCCTATTTCTCCTGTTCGCATGGGATCAGGAGGGGAGAGCTTTTCACTCTCTTTGGGCAGAAAGTATTGATAGTTTAGGTCTCTAGGACTCTGTCTCTGTGTCCCAGTCTCATTCTCAGTTATTTCATCTTTGGATGCAGAAGTGAGAGAGAGAGAGCTAATCTTTCACTGTCTGAATGTTGCACTCACCAATCAATGACAGACCCAGAAATGCTCACAACATGCAGTGGCCTCTCTGTGTCCAGGGATCACTAACAGGAGGGGCCAGGTGAGAAAGCCAGAGCAATATAACAACAACAACGAGCATTCATATCCTAGTGTCATGCATATACCAGAGGCTACTACTTGTCATCCGATCCAGGACAATAGTATTGTGTTTGTGGCATGCTGTTGTGTCTGCTCCCAAACCTCAACAAGTGAAAAAAAGAGGTTTATTGGGATGAGGAAATGAACACTTAAGGGGGATGGGGAGAGAGAATATTAAAAAAATAATAACTTTCTAAACCAAACTTTCACCTGAAAATCCCTGTGGTTTCCCTGAGTGGTCCCTCTGAACAACAGCTGGTGACCATGGAAGGATGTGGGATTTTCCTGCTGCCTGTGGTGAACTGTACTTTTAGCAGGAAATCAAACAAGCAGCTGGCTGGCTTGCAGTTTGTTTCTCTTTCAAGACTTGCATTGCCCTTTGTTCTCTATAAAACAGCAATCTTGGAAAAGAAAATGACACTTGGGGACTGCCCACGTGGTTTGATAAATACTAGCTGGAGGCAAACATTTCTCTGCGTGGTTCTTTTAAAAATATTTAATTCATCACTAAATTATTTCATTGCACTGATGTAGAAGTTCCAACCTGCTGCTGAATTCAGCCTGGCTCATGCTGGAGAAAGGGTGGTGTCTTACTGCATAGATTAGGTGTAGTGCATTTTAGAATATATATGGCCAAACTACTCAGGGAATGAGAGAGACCAAGGTGTAACAATGAATACTCTTGGAATACAATAGCATGCCAACTTATAAATGGATTGAAATTGATCTGACTGTCTGAAAGGAATATAGCTAATTTTAGTTCATGGTAGACTGCCGAAAACCTATTTAACTTTAAAACTGAATTTTGAGAGTTGGTTGCTGTCTGAACTAACAACCTTATAATGTAAATGCCACTAGTGGTGCCTTGTTTTAAGAAAAAAAGATTAAAACTTCACTGCAAGAATATTTGAAAAGTATTTTCATTTAAGCTAGGTCTACACTACACTTCTTTTTCGGAAAAAGTCACATGAATTGCGCTTCACAATTTACATACCTTTTTCCGAATGTTTTTTCAGAAAAGCATTCCAAAATTTGGCCCATCTACACTGCAAATTTTGGAAAAACCTCCTCCTTCCGAAGAGCCCTTCTTCCTTGTGAAACAAGGTTTACAGGGCTTCCGAAAGAGTGCATCTGCTCTTCCGCAAAAAATGTTGGAAGAGCAGACATGTTCCCTGGATGCAACAGAGTTTTTCCAGGATGAAAAAAACTCCATAGTGTAGACATAACCTTACTTTAGAGTCTAAAGTTTAGACTATGGACAGCAGCATTAATTCCTTGTATTGTCAGAGCACCAAGGAACCCCAGTCAGGGACCAGCACCACACTGCACTATCCGTGTGAAACACAGAACAGAAAAACAGTCCTTGCCCCAAATATCTTTTAATCTAAAAATATGACAAAAGACTGCAGATGAATGCAAACAGATGAGAAAATAAGAAAACAATCAGACTAGTCTCATAAAAACTCCAATTAAGATCCCAGAAATACCCTAAAAGATTGTGAAAACAACTTCATGCTGTCCTGTGGTACCTTAGGCTATGTCTAGACTGCAAGCCTCTTTCGAAAGCGGCTTTTTTGAAAGTATTTTTTTGAAAAAGCCTCTTTCGAAAAAGAGCATCTAGAATGCAAGCAGTACTTTCGAAAAAGCAAGCCGCTTTTTCGAAAGAAAGCAGCGAGTCTGGATGCTCTCTTTCTAAAAAGCCCTGTTGTCATTCAAGAACGCCTTTTTTCGAAAGAGCACTTTTGAAAAAAGGCATTCTTCCTCGTGAAATGAGGTTTACCGCCGTCGAAAGAAAAGCTGCGTTCTTTCGATTTAATTTCTAAAGAACGCGGCTGCAGTCTAGACGCAAGTGAAGTTTTTTCGAAAAAAGGCTACTTTTTTCGAAAAAAACCCTGAGTCTGGACACAGCCCTGGAGATTAACAAATGAATTAGGTCAAGAACTTTCATGGGAAAAACCCACTTCATCAGATGAGCTGGAGCCTCCAACTGTGCAGTGCTGGGAATTGCATGTACACATTAGACATGTAGTGGAGCCTCCAACTCATTTGATGACGTGGGTTTTACCCATGAAAGCTCATGACCAAATAAATTTGTTAGTCTCTAAGGTGCCATAGTCTCTAAGGTGCCACAGGACTGCTTATTGTTTTTTCAGTTTCAGGCTTGATGCGTTTAATAGTACATGTCTAACGTGTACATGCAATTCCCAGTACTACATGGGGAAAAAAAAATCAGGCTGATGAATGTGTTTATGGCTAGAGAGATACTTAACTGGCCACGTGAAGATGCAGTCCTGGCTTTATATATGCAATTGTGATAACTCTACACAGAAACCAGGATCACAACATCTAGCCAGACATGCTCTCAACATAGGTCAGAACAGCCTGTCACCGCTCATCTGCACCAGCTTGTAATGGCTCCAAATCCACACACACCCCTTAGCAAATTTCCCATACACATTATGCCCCCTACACTACAGGAAGGGCTGGTGTAGGGACAGTTAATCAGATTTTATGCCAACTGAAAATGTCTTTGAACTTAAAGGATCCTCAGCTATCTATTTAGTGTAGAGATAAATCCTTTTATGTTGCTCTAGTAGCTCAAAGGGACTTTTTTGGGGAGAGGATTCAACCTCAAATGTATTTGGTTTCTTAATTTTTTTTCCTCCATGCAAAGGCTGGCTCAACAAAAAAGGAGCACAAGTTTAAAACTGCATGACTATATTAAGAGTTGAAATTTCAAAAGTGCCTCAGCATGTATCGAACGTTGCTCCCATTTGAACAGAGCTAAGCATCTTTGAAGATCCTTCCCTAAGCATTAAGCAAATCTCTGGGATAAATTGTTCTTAAAAAGGGAATGCTCTGTATTAAGTAGGGATGTGAAAGGTTAATTGGTAAACATCACCCTAAATGGGTGATGCTTACTGGCTCTGGTTAAGTGGCAGAGGCTAGTGAAGTCCCCAGCCTGGATCTTGCATTAGCCAGTTAACTGATTAGCCGGAATTTTATGTTCCTAGTCTTAAATGCTATATTCAATGGGAGTGTGTATGCTGTACTTTCATTAAACAAAACACAAAGTTTTAGAGCTATATGGCTCTTAGTGGTTTGCATGGGTTCCTGTCAACAATTGCTTGGGTTTGATCCATATGGATGTTCACAGTTGAGTTTCACTTTGAGTTTCTGATTTGACTAAAGCAAATCTTTCGTTGCCAAAACCACAAGACTCCAAAACCCTATGAAACCATGAGTTTGGCACCTCCTTGATATGGAAACTGTAAATTGTGCCCCGGTTCATTTGAAACTGGGCCATATGCCTTTAAGTTATGAAATACAGCAAAACTGCCAGCAAACCAGGTCAGTTTGAGGTCCTAAGGAAGTGAAAGCCATGCGTGTTTTCCCTTGTTTACAGTTTTATTATAAATATTTTGCTAAGCTCTGGTATTCTTTAGCCTGTGTATTCCTCAGCTATACATACACCGAATGGGTAGGAAACCAGAACAAGCCTACACATTCTTTAAGAAATTGCAGTTTTCTACTTCACAAGTTTCAGTTAAAATTGGACTTCGCTCCCTCTGCTAGTTCTAACACAGACTATGTCCAATTCATGAAGGTGACATCTCAGATCAGTTGTACTTATGCTTGATGGCTTTAGATGTCACAGCTATAAGATAAAGATATGCATGTTTTAACTGAAAGGTAGAAAAACTCAAAGTATGTTGTAAATCACATACTACCCAAGAGCAGCAACCATCTTGTTTAAAAGCCACATGTGATACTCGGCTGCCAGCATTAAATCTTTTGAATATGGTTCTTGTTAACAATGTATGAAAGTTTAAAAAAAAAAAAAAAAAAAAAAAAAAAGAGAGAGAAAAAAGTGTGAAAAGTTATTTTAGGTTTCAAAATAGACACGTGCATCAAGAAGACATATTTGTAAACAGACTAAAAAGATCAGCAAAAGGAAGGAAAATAATGCAAAATCCACACCTGGGCAACCCAGAGATGGGAGGCTATAGGTAAGTTAAGGAGGAGACAACAAAACAAAACAGCAAGTCATGTACGTGAGGAGCAAATTCTAATCACACAAGTAAGCAAACAGGCTCCTAACATCATCGTACAGCTAGCAGGACAACTGCAGCCTAGTCAAATTTAATTGAACTGCCATTATTCATTAGAGTTGCCGGATGGTTTCAACAAAAATACCAGACACACTTGACATTACATGACAATCTACACTACATCTTATTTAGAAAATACCAGACATTTATATTTTCTCAATTTGATTCCCGAACAGAAAGCTCAAATACTGGACTGTCTGGTTCAAAACCGGACACCTGACAACCCTATTATTCATTTAAAAAGGCCAAAGGGAAAACCAATAGGCTTTGATCAGAAATGTTGATTTTCAGCTGAGCTAGGAAGGGGATCATAATGTAATGAAGCACACATCAGGTGTTTCTGACCTGTCATAGAGTTTTCAGATGTACACAGCTGCTCTCTCAGCTTTTCCACGTCATCTGGATGAACCTGCTCATAGAGCGTGCTGCCAAACCACTCTGACTGTGGCTGGTTCAGCACTGGAGTGACGGAATCGGATACGTAGATGACTCTCCCAGTCTCCGCTGCAACTACAAACAGGAACCCATCGGCAGCCTCCAGGATAAGATGTTTCAGTTCCTTGCAGAGACAGGATTGAATTAGAAGGCCAGCAAGAAAAGAGAATTTAAAAAAATACATTGTTAACCCTCAACTCACAACACTTCTTTTTCAGTTTGAAGGGCTGGTCAAATAATAAGTGAACTACATTTTCAATGTGGCGCTGATACAATAATGCATCCGATTTTGTAAGGAAAAACATTGTTCATCTTAGTAAATACAACATCTTTTACCTGATGATCTCAATCATAGGTGCCGACTCTGTGGGTGTCTCGGGGCTAGAGAGCCCAAAGGGAAAACCAGCAGTCAAGCTCCCCCCTCAGACTCCCTCTTCCCCCCACACCTCTTGCCCGCTGGCTCCTCCCCAGCCCCCGCAGCACTTCTGCCAACAGCTGAGTCGTGGCATTCAGGAAGCTCCAGGAGGGCAAGGGAGGAGCGGGGTCAGAGCGCATTTGGGGGAAGAGGTGGGGAGGCAGGCGGGGGGCAATGGACATGGGGTGGGAAGAAGCAGGGCAGGGGTGGGGTCTTGGGGGGGAAGGGAGATGAGGAAGCCTGGAGCAGCGGGGAGGATCCAGCACCCCTACAGCTAGAGGACAAATCAGCTAGAGGACAAAGCGCCTATTATCTCAATGCACTTTAGAAAAATTAACTAAGCCACATAACTCCCCTCTGAATGGGGTATCTTATAAAGTAAGGCAGGGACTGGGGAAATGACATGCTAAAGATAGTAAAGAAATTCCATCCTTTTTTAAATGTTCAAAGAATTTAACAGATTAAATCAACAGGGTTATTCTGAAATGTAATATGATCTTTTAGATATTCAAAATCTGCAATATTTCATGAGGAGTGATATTCTTTATAGTTTTTTAAAATTTTTCAATAGAAATCCACAGTACAAGATATATTAGATTAGAACAACTTATGTAGGGCTGAAGAATGAAATAGCACTTTGTATGAATTATATCTACCAATATGACATTACATAACCTCATGAATTGCGGCCCAGTTTTTATTAATGGGATTTGGATTAATTTGTTAGTAAACTGTTAAGAATTGCCTTTGAGGAACCTGTTGTAACTTTTTTGTGTCTTATAACTAAAACCCCATTTCAAACTCTGTACCGACTTAACTCTGTTTAAAGTTAGATGTGTCTCTATGTAATTTCATTTATAAGTGTGAATGTGGGGGTGTTTGTAAAGGGATCAATCCCTGAAGCCAGCGTGTTTAGGTGACCAGCTGCTAGCATGCTAGCACCATCTTGATGGCAAAAGAACAATGCAAGTGAGCCCTGCAAAAGAACCCACGAGAGAGAGAGAGAGAGAGAAGCCCCATAAAGAAAAAAAGATCAAGACCACATCTACTGTTAACTGATGACTCATAGTCATACAGTGCCCTGGGCGGTGGGACAGAACAGACTCTATGGACTAAAACCTATAAAAAAAATAGGTGCAAAACTACAGAGTTGGGTCTTTCAGTTCTACAATCATCCTACAGGAACATCGGTACGCACCGACATGACCCAGGTCCCCTTTTCATATCTAGACCACCTGGCCAGTGGACTAGCATGAGCAACTGAGGCTGGTAACTATATCCCATCTGTAGAACTGTGTGTATGAGTATGTGTAGTGGATAATTTTAGTAGCTACGGACAGTACATGAATTCTGCTTTCACAACTAACAGGGCATATTGCCTGACCGCCCAAACTAGATTCTGTTAATTTTATTTCTCTAAGTGTAACACATACTGAAAGATTATTCTCTATTTACTTCTGTAGAACTTTACCCCTGGAAAAGGAGGGTTACTACTGACACTTTCCACTCCCTGAATCATTTGAATGCGAAAAAGACCGGTTTTCAAAAAGCTTACTTTTATGCACATAACTCAATGCTCTGTCGAAGAGCACTTACTTATGTGTGTGCATAAAGCATGCACAACCTGGGCAGTTAATCACCCAACAACCTGACTGGTGTGCACAATTTGCAATCTGTTTGCACAGATTAAAAAAAAATGCAGGCCAACTTTGGTGAAAGCAATCAGTTGTGCAAAAACGAATGGTGAGGAGTAAAAAACCTGGCCCTATATTTTATTTCAGTTTACTCAGACTCCCTTCTTAACACCCATCCAAATCTGTTGCAACTCAATGAGGTTTCTGGAGCCAATCACTGTCTCTTTCACTGTCCACTTTATTGTTTTGATCAAATATTAAGTCTCTTAAATAAGGGTCTCTGAGTCCTGGTGCTTCAGGCTTTTGTGATTGTTACTCATGGTCGAGAAAGATCCCTAAATAATGTGCATCTGTTCTAGATCCTGCTGCCCACCCACAGAGGGAAGAAAAGCAGCCAATTGACAGCATCTGAGTCCCCCAGAAGCAAATTTGGAGACCGGAGATAAAAGTATAGAGAGACGTGAGCATGGAGAGTTCAGCTGCTGCTGGTATTTGGTTAACAGAAATATGTATCGCTTCAAGCCATACTTTACGTATATAAGAACGTAACTCTAAGAGAAAAAGTATGCAAGTTACAGCCAAAAGAAAACTAGAAAGGAGATTCCCAAGTTCAGATGCAAGCTCTCCAGTTCTGAGGTTTTACCAATTGGGGATACCCATATAGTTCAGATCCAAATTTGAATTTTCTTCAAATCTGTCTGTGCTCACACCTGGAATTGTCTCAGAGAGGGAGCTGTGTTAATCTGTAACTTTAAAAACAATGAGTAGTCCTTTGGCACCTTAAAGGCTAACATATATTATCATGAGCTTTCGTGGGCAAAACCCATTTCTTCAGAGGAGATGATCTTGAGTGAACCTGGAATTGTTTGCCTCTCCCTAAATGAAGCGAGCCAAAAACCAATACAAAGAACTTACTGGCCCCACTACCCTACCTCTCAAAATGACAGGATTATTTGGCACAGAAAAACACAACATTTATGAACCAACTACCTGTTCTGTTAGGAAAGAAGGCTTATATGCCCCGTCAGTAGATTTATTTCCAGTGCCCCTCATAGACTTCATGTGTGAAACAGCCATACGCAGAATTGTCAACTTGTCAGGTTTACGTGCCAATGCACTGCAGGTGGGCACCATGTCCGACAGCTCCGTGATATACTGTGTCATCTTATTCCTCCTGCGCCTTTCAATTTCACTATGGTTCTCCCTAAACATTAAAGAAAAATCAAGCCAACAGAAAAAGCAAGACAAGATCAGTACAGGAATTTCCGTTTGGTATTGCAAATAGTAAAATAAAATAATAATAATAATAATAATACTTTGCATTTGTGTAGCATCTTTCATCCAAGGAGATCAAAGTGCTTTACAAAGGTAAGCATTATTATCCTCCATTTTACAGTGGGGAAAACAGGCACCACTCAGTTCAGTATGATTTGCCTAAGATCACACAATGATTCCCGATTTCCCAACTGCTAGTTCCTGGCTCTAACCCCCCCTTTAGAACAGCAGCAGTAAAAGGAAAAAGAGGCGCTGAAGGCCATCAATGCCAAAGGAACCTCTCGAGAGATGCTCTGTGCCTCCTAGCATAATATAGACTAGCAATGAGCAACCAAGGCAAGTGAATGAGCCACATGAGTGACCCTCTATCTCAGTGGGCTAGGCTACAAGATTGAAGACGGGCACATGCACAAACCCCATGACCCCAAGAAAAAGATTAAATACATTGCACTAAGGGATCCATTGTTAGGGCAAATTAAATTGCAAAAGTAACGAAGAAGCAAAGGGAGCACACGGTTTTCACAATGTTGTGTGCAAAGCCCTGGTTGGGTTGATTTAGTTGGGATTGGTCCTGCCTTGGGCAGGGGGCTGGACTTGCTGACCTCCTGAGGTCTCTTCCAGCTCTATGATGCTATGAACTCATACAGACCCTTGCTTTAAATGTGTGTCACTTCTTATTTTGCCAGGGGCTGCTCAACCCCCCTCCACTGCAGGCCCTGCATCCATTCCATCTCTTCCCTCAAACCCCAATCTGGCCTCTTTCCTGCCTCCTCCTCTGAGCGTGCCCCATCTCTTCTCCTCCCCTCCCCCCCCAGCATTTCCAGAGTGCTGAGAATCAGCTGATTGGCACCCCATACCTACTTCTCCACCTCCCTCCCAGAGTCTGAACACCACAAACCAGCTAATTCACAGCAGGGAGAGGGCACAAAACAGATAATTCACAGTGCTCTGAAAGTGCTGGGAGGGAGGAGTAGGTAATGCAGGGGGAGGGAGCAGAGGGAGAGTGCACAGGCTGCATAAAGAACTCCAATGGGCCGCATGCAGCCTTCAGGTAGCCCACCACTGATACAGAACCTGATATAATGAATGGGGGTCTCCCCATGGACTTCAAGAGATCAGGTCTTCAGTAAGCAATGGGTATGGCTACAATTTTGTCATGGGAATATAGACCCCAAACCTGCAATCCTATGCAGCAGATCTACACCCTATGCTGGCCCTCCAAGACTTCAGTAAGGCTCTGTATGGGCACAGGGCACAGATTGCAAGACTGGGACTATATTTTGTATAACAAGTAAATGAAACATCTAAAATAAATACTAAAAAATAAAGTAGGTGCTGACTTGCCAGACACTGAACAGGGGGTAATTATATAAGAGAATCACTAGTATAGTAATAAAATAACAATGGCATTACTCAACAGTAATATACTGCTTTTTATCTTCCATGAGATTTACACAGATACCTAAAGCATCTCCACAATAACCATATTTTATAGAGGTTAAATAACTTGACTATACTTACGAAGAAAGTCTGAGGAAGCCAAAGAAAGCGAGACCTGGGATTAGAACTCAGGAACTCCCAAATACCAATACTATGCTCAAAAATTATTCAAAAGAAAACACTACCAGAAGCTTTGGTATTACATTGTGACTTCCAAGAGTTGCAAGATTTATAAAGGTCACATCTTAAAGTCTTTACCCATTCAAAACTATCATTAAAGCCCACGAGAGTTTTATGTGATAAATAATCGAGTAAAAAACTGTAAAGACAAGATTTAGAGTGTGATTTTCAAAGAGGCCTAACAGAGATAAATACGTAATTTCCATTCCTTGAAAACTTCAGCCTTAGCCTACAAACATACATTTTCATAGCAAAACGCTGCTCTCAGTCCACCTACAAAATTAATACAGGTTGAACCCCTCTGGGCCAGTACTCGCTGATCTGGTACCAGACAATGGATGTTGCTAGATCAGAGAGCCCCTGGACTGAAGAGCCCTGGCAGATCAGAGGGGGAGTAGACTGAGAGTCTGGTGGAAGAGGGGCTGGAGGCCAGCAGCAGGGAAAGGAGTCCAGTTGGTGGCAGCTACAGTCAGCAGAGCAGGGAGACTGGCTAGTAGGGCAGGGAGCCAGGGCCATGGAGCCCAGGTAGCAAAGTAAAACGGGCGGGAAAAGAGTGAGGGGGAGGCAGAGAGTGGAGCCTGGCTGGCAGGACTGGCGGGTGGGGGGGCCCATGGAGCCAGCAGCAGGGTGGGGTGGCCAGGAGGCGAGACAGCTGGGAGGTCGGCAGCCTCTTGCAAGGGCCATGACCTCCCCTGACCCAGCAAACTCCTTCGTTGGGGAACAGCCAGGTCCTAATGGTGCTTGACCAGGGAGGTCCAATCTGTATCAAGTTATGAAAATCAGTATCCAGTGAATTAATTTTTTTCTCCACATCAAACTTACCAATACCCTACAACAACGAGGATCACTGACTCATTTCAATTTCATTTCGAAAGTTCTCAGCACTTACAATAAATACATTACTGAATTGGAAAATTGCATTTTAGGATTCTTCAATTATCAACTGTCAATACTGTATATAAATAGGATCTGTAGGCAAGATCCTCAGCTTGTCTAAATAGCTCTATCAAAAATCAATGGTGTTGAACCAATTTCCATCAGCTAAGGAATTAACCTATAGAACCTAGAAAATTACATTGCATTGTATACACAGACACATCTTTATTTTCTGAAATGGCACCAGTATACTGTACCTGTGAAGTGGTAGCTACCTATAAGCATGCCCAGGAAGAAGAGAGCATGCCACTTCTGATGTCAAAACAGCTTCTTTCAATGAGCTGGGTATGGAATTTTCTTGGGGGGTTACTGATTAATCCAACGAGATGTGAAATTGCAGATGACCACATGGAGAATCCACTAACACTGATATGTACAATATGCAGTATTAGAATTTATTCTGACTTAGTATCATTTAGGGCTGAATAACTAGGGCAGGGGTGAGGAACCTAAGGCTTGGGGGGCTAGATGCAGCCCATGGCTTGCTTGGATCCAGCCCCAGAGGCTCAGGCCCCACCCTCAGCATTGGGGAGCCCACATTGGCACTCCAGGTCCCCCCCCACTGCCCCACTACAGAGTTGAAGCGCACAAAATCTACTTCACTGGGCCCCATAGGCTCTTGCGTGCACGGGGAACGTGGGGAGTGTCTTCGTTCTTCTTAGTTGGGGGCCTCGTCAGTGAGGGATTTGTTTGGGGTTTTTTTTGGCTTCTCACTTGTGTGTGACCTCAAACTTATTTCTGTGGGGGTCAATGGCCCTTGACCCAAAAAAAGATTCCCTATCCCTGAATTAGGGAGTGATTCATGGAAGTGGACTAAGCAAAGATCAAAATATAGGGTTGGTATCTGTGTTGCAATATGTTGCTCTTTGAAATATTCCAAAAAATAAGGAAAATCACAGAACATTTAGAGGAGTTGGAATTATTGGTTTGTGTTGCTTTAGAACAGGGGTCGGCAACCTTTTCAAACCAAAGAGCCAAACTACATCAAAATTCAGAACAAGTGGTCAACAAAGAACCAGTATAAGAATGCCCATTTGCTTGACTGAAAATATACAACTTAATATTATTCATACTTGACATAATGATTAATAATAGCATAATTTAATTATTGTATTCACAGACTTTATTTAATGGGACTTCTGCATTTTTTTTTTTTTTTTGAAATTTACATCATAACTGGTCAAATTCAGCTTCATGCATGCATTCAGGCTGACTTTTGTCAGTCTTGAACATAAATTACCTTTGGTGTAATTCAAATGAGAGAAAGGCTTCTCACACACATTATAGGTGGAGCCAAACATTGAAAGTAAGGCCAAGCTGACATTCTGCATGGCACTGTATGTGATCGAAAGTTCTTTCCAAGTTTGCAGATTCAGATTATCATCATGCTCTAGTTTCTTCGCGTCAGCCCATTTGTGCAGTTTTATCAATACTGTACATTGTCAAGCAAGGTGTTCTAAATCAGAATTCAGCTTGATGAACTTTTCCACCCAGATATCTGACTCCTTGAAATCTGCCATTTCCAAATTGCTAACTCAGATGCCTGGAATCACTGTTAAATCCAGTTCTTCAATGGACACTTTATGTGGACGAATCATAAACATAAGCAGAGCACCGTGTTTCCAAAAGTCAACAAAAGGAGACTTGAATGCCATCTGGAGCTCAGAAACAACCCAACAAGCTTCTGCAAATCAAGGCTGTTATTTGGATTCTCTCTCTGATAGGAATCACGAAACATTTGAAATCTTTCAAAATGAGACAGTTTACCCGTCTCGATATCTTTGATTACAGTCAGTTTTGACTCAAATCCAAACACTGCTTTCTGTAGAGTCAGCACTGTATTTCCTTGCCCTTGTAGCTTAGGGGTATGACTAGACTACAGACTTTTGTTGACAAAGCTTCTGTCGACAAAGAGCGTTAGACTAAATCCAGTTCTGTCGACAAAGCAAGTCACTTTGTCGACACGAGAGTGTAGCCACAAAGGACAGTGTAGATGCAATAATGCCTTCTGTCGACAAAAAGCGTTATTCCTCGTAGAATGAGGTTTACCACCATAGACAAAACTGCCGAGTTCTGTTGATGTTATGTCAACAGAACTCAGCGGTAGTATAGACGCTGGTATTGTTTTGTCGACAAAAGTCCACTTTTGTCGAAAAAACCCTGTAGTCTAGACACACCCTTAAGGTTGAACTCATTCAAATGAGCAGTAATGTTGATGAGATAGTAAAACTTGAGCAACAAGTCACAGTCAGAAAGTTCAGTATGTTTGACACCCTTGCTATCCAAAAGTGGCAGGAGGCAAAAAGAGACAAAACTCTGCCACAGGATAACCAGCGAACATTGCTGTGTGAATCAGATTCTGAATGCCCAGATCTACTATCTCCTCGAGCAGTGACTGAAATGATAAAGGGCTAGGGCAAAAATCCAATTCACAATGGGAATGACCAGTCCCATTACATTTCTGAGTTTGTGCACAATCTTGTGGAACTAAAGTGCTTCCTGATGCACAATGCAATAAAAGTTCAAAAGTGGCCAGTCCAGCTGTTCTAACGAAAGATTAAGGAATCCCCTGAATTTTCTGACCATGCTAGGTGCACTGGCCATAAACATACACCGTCCATACACAGACACAAGATTATCCAACTGTATTTCTTTCTCATTTACAAAGTCCATCACACTTTTAAGGATGTCTTCGTCCCTTGTTCAATTTTTCATCGGTAATATTGCAATCATTTCTTCATGTATAGCATTTCCAGAATACACAACTGATAATGTCACATATCAGTTGTCTCATCCAAAGCAAACCAAAAATAAGTTGCTGTACTCAAATTCTGCATTTGGCCCATCAATTCAACAAGGAACATTTCCACAGCTCTGTCATAAACTGTTTTTGTTGATAACGGCATATCTTGAATTTTCTGTAAGATTGTGTCCTTGTTGTGAAACTCGTCAAATAGTTCATGACCAATTTTTAGCATGCAACTCTTCATGTAATCTACATCAATGAAAGGCTTCCTGTCTTGAATAATGCTGTATGAGCCCGCAAAGCTTGAGCAGTTTAAGCTTCCACTTTTTTTGACCATGCCAGCAGGCTATTTTGTCCAATGTTCATTTTTCGCTGCAGCTCCTTGCAGGCTTTTTTTTGCTTGTCACCCTTGGGGTACTTATAGCAAATGCTGAAAGTTTTGTCATGAAATGCCGTTCTAAATTTGATTTTGTTTGAGGACAGTCACTACAAATGAGACCATGTGGAGATCCAGACCTTTCCACAAATGCATAAAAGTCTGTCCACTCCTTTTGAAAATTTCAGTACTTTTCATCTTTCTTTCTCTTCACCATTTTACTGTTAGCGGGTCACAGAGTTTTCTATTGTATATGATGATGAAAAAAATTCTTGATCAATCAGATAAAAAGAGAATATACATGATCCCCAATGAGTGGAGAGGATGGATGGTTGTTAAAAGGAACTATTAAAGGTGAAACAGAACAAATAAAAAAGACCATCTTGACATGAGCAATTACGCGTTTTCAAAATTTTGAATTAAATTTTTCATTTTAATTTAAAAAGTTGTGTGTATTTTGGGAATGACAAAAGAGCCATATTTGGTGCCGTACTGAGCTATATTTGGCTCTAGAGCCATAGGTTGCAGACCCCTACTTTAGTAGGTATCATATTCAAGATCTATGGAAGGTCAACCTGTAGGACTGCCACAATGTGTCTGTGCTCTGGCTCTCAGTGTGGTAAGCCCAAGCATTCTCTAGGCATTGGTCAATGAGGTTGAGAGAGAAGGGCAGGTTGCCAATTTTCTACTTTGTTGGGCAAATCAGTCAAGTGGAAGGATACTCAAGGTAAAGGGATCATCCTGAATGTTGGAAAAAAAAACCTGTAAGAAAATGGCACTAGAACTATGTAAGTTGCACATAAATCAACCAAATCCTAGTGCATCTGCCTTAACAAGGCTACTGTGAACACCTTCAAATAGCCCATCATTGTTAGTGTGAGGTTTCCTAGAACGAAGTGTGGTTTCTCTCTGTTCCTAACACAGCAGGATGGTTTGGATATTGGAGCTACCGAGAAATTGCCCATACATACTGAGAGTACGCTCTGACTACATCTCTAGCTGGTCCTATGAGATGCTGACCAATGACTAGGGAGGTACATGAATGCAGTTAGCACTGTGTATTGCAGGGATGGATACAGCACAGCTTGCATTTTGCAATTCAGAATTCCTAAACCTGTTGAGGTGCTGAGCACCTGCACTTCCTACTTGTTTCAGTGGGGGAACAAGTTCTCAATGCATCTGCAGATCTGGCCTAGTTCAGAGAGAAAACAGGTTAGCATGAGGGCTGCTTATTGCGATAGACTGGCAATACTTAGTCTTCCTCAGCATCTTCCAACAGGATTCACTGAGCTCTATCTCGGCAGTGCTAAGATACACTTCTGGGAAGCTATGATTTATTGCCCTGTGGGTACTATTACTAAAGAATGGACCTTACTGGGTCTGTGGCTTGGTCTGAGTGTTTACTTCTCATCTCCACGGAGCCCTTCCTCCCCCTTTCTGGGCCCTTAACGTTTGCTGGCGAGATTAAATGATTTTTTGCACATAAAAGCAAACCTCAATGAATGTGAAGTTTTCTAGTACAGGGGCTTTGACTATAAAAGATTTGTACCATGCACATCATAATGGAGTCTGGATCATAACTTTAAGAGCAGGTTAGATAAGCATCTATCAGGGATGATCAGATGGTGTTGGTCCTGCCATGAGGGCAGGGAACTGCTTTCGATGACCTCTCAAGGTCCCTTCCAGTTCTAGTGTTCTATGATTCTATGTAAAGGGTATCATATGTAGGTTTTACATGTTGGAGTCACTAACAGAATCAATGTGTGTTATACGGTTCTCTCTCCACATTCACAATTCCCACTGATGTCAATAAGGCCTTTATTATTAAAGCACCAATTTGTATACAATTTAAACAAGCATACTGCAATAGCACTCCTTATTGGTTCAGTAAATAACAAACTTTCCTTTTTGTTTATCACGTTCTTTAATGGTGCACGTGTTTCAGATTCTCGACTGTCTGTGAGAGGAGATAGCTATGTTGATCCCATGATATTAGAGAGATAGATTAGATAGTAGAGCTCTGTGTAAGCTTGAAAGCTTGTCTCTCACACCAGCAGAAGTTTGTCCAGTAAAAGAGACTGCCTCACCCACCTTGTCTCTCTAATATCCTGGTACTGATATAGCTGCAACCACCCTGCATAGTTAAAAACAATCACACAAAGTAACCAAACCCCTGCATGGAAACTGACAAAAATCCAACATTTCATGTTACGTATTATTATAAAAGTTTTAAAATATTACATTAATCCATATATTAGCAAAAGGGCTGAACAAACATATCTGACGCTGTCCTGAAACTCACTCAATCTGAGCTGAATAGATAGCAAGAGGGAACACACTTCTGTTATAAAAGGTCTGATCCTGGAAACTTACATTAATGAACAATTTAAAAAGATGGAGCCCTGGGATTTATAATTCCTAGCTGTTTGTTTTTTAAAATGTTTGTAGGATATTAAATTTGGGTACTAAGAGGCTGATCCAAGTCCCTGAAATCAACAGTGGTTTGAAAGTCTCCTATTGACTATAGTGGGCTTTGGATCAGGCTTTAGATAAGCGAACCTTACTGATCTGTGATCAGCCAGAATGGTATCATGTAAAATAAAAGGGTCCAAACGGGATTTTCCTTTTTCCTACCTGGCCATCCTCTCTGTGTCAGCAGTACTTTGATCATCTTCCCACCTAGAAACAAAATAACCAGCTCTCTAAGCTAAGGCGCACAGACTGAGAATTTCTGGATACGACTATCCCCCTCTTTTCTCTCAGCAGAAGATCTCTACAGAACACGCCTACCTTGCAAATTTTTCCTTATCACCAGAGATTTGATCATCATCATACCTATAAACAAAACATGGTACGTAAATTCAAAAGGCTTATGCAAAACTAGAAAGTCAATACAAAGTAGAAGGCGAAGACAACAATTTCAAGTGCAAATTACGATGAATTACAGAGAAGCATGATACAATGGGAATGATAGAAAAGAAAGGAAAAGGGAACTCTCATGAAACTTTCTGAACTCTCAGGAACCTGTGGCTAAAAACGTTCACTTTTGATGTATTAATATGAAGAAGATCAAAATATGCCCCTCTGGTTTCACTTAACATCTTAAAGCTCATTTGTTTATTGTTTGAGAAAGTTATAAAGAAAACTCATTAGAGAAAAAACTATTAATCTGTTTTTAACAATAAGCCATGAAATTTCCTGGTTGCACAGCAATAGTAGGGATATCTTCAGCATGCTGCATCCACTATGTATGGCACTCAGTAGACGGCATTGATAACACATACAAATTGTGGAACGATAAAGACCCATCCAAACGCAGGTCATTATTTTATGGAGATCTTTGCACAAAGCTTTAATACTGGCACAAAGCTGAGGACTCCACCAAGTATTTGTTATGAGATCTAGGGCCAGATCCTCAGCTGGTGTAGGTCAGTATTCTGGAGAAATGCCGCAGGGAGCCCAGGATCAGCTGGGAAGTCCCCAGCTGACCCTGGGCTCCAGGGCTGCCCCTTTGAATCATGCAGAGGATCAGCTGTGCAGCAGCTGCCCTTTTAAAAGGAAGCCTGCGCACATTTCAAAGGGGCAGCTGCCATGGAGCCCAGGGTCAGCTGGGGACTCCCAGCTAATCCCGGGCTCCCTGCAGCATTTCTCCAGAACTCAGGATCAGCTGGGGAGTCCCCGTTGGGGACTCTTGTGCATTTTAAAGTAGGCAGGCCGCATGCAGCCCAGAGTCAGCGAGACTTCCCACTGGCCGCAGGCTGAGTTCTGCATTCCTCTTCTGAAATGTACAAGAGCCTTGTACATTTCAAAGGAGAAATGGGGAAGTGGCTGTCAACTAGTCTTGGAAATTTCATTGACTAGTCAATTAACTGCATTTTAACATCCTTAATACTAACCTCCCTGAAGTGTGTATAATTGTTTCATTTTAGTAGCTGCAGCCTACAGAGGATAGAAGTCTAAAACCTACTATGCAAACAGAAGTATTCATGGTTTACTACCGGTTATACATCAATCATACTTCAACAGGCATCTTTTCTGTTTATTGCCTGAGCAATTTAAAAGCGCAGATCTTCATTTCAGTGAATCCGATTCAAACTTGATTATCTGGAAAGAATATTTCTCTAATAGAATGTTGTTAATATGCAATCCTTATACTACAACTATAGTGTACTTCACTGTTATGAAGATCCAAATATGCAGAACAAAAAAAAAAGTTGCATAAAAT